TCTATTTACCTACTTTTAGTCTTCTTTTGTCATTTCAGTCCAAATATATTAATAATATTTGCAGACTCTTTGCATCGTCATTCATTGTACAGCATTCATTGTACCACGTCTGTTGTGGCTACAATGATAACGGAAATTTTTGAGTTTGAGTTTACACCTGACATTCAAATGTACTAAATATAAATGCAAAATTGGCACCTGTAATCACTTTAAGGTTTGATACACTGCTTTGCAAGAGGTAATTTGCATATCCTCCACCTATAAATGTGTGTAGTTTAGTCGTTAGAATACGATCTGCATATTCATAAAGGCACATGCACAATAAGCAAGTTTGCATGCGCTGTCTGCTGAATTAGATCTGCTTTATGGATGCAAACAGGTTTGCACATGTTTTGGTTCACAAGATCAGGCCCCAAACGGCCTAATATATTTTAGTCTCAGTCTGCCCTCCGTGTGGTTGTGAGAGATGGAAAAACCTCCCCTTTAAGGCTTTTTTAAACTATGGTTTTCTTCATGTAACTCTTCCATAAATCTCTAATTTCAAGAGTTGTTAAATAACAGTTGTCCTGTCAAGAGATTCTCCCACCTAAGCCATGGATCTCTGCAGTTTGCCCATAGTTACCATGGGCCTCTTGGCAACGTCTCTCTGTTTTCCTCTTGAATGGCCATGTCCTGATTGGTTTGCAGCTGCAATATACTCTGTCTTCTGCTCTAAGAGCCCTCTGTACAATGTAAGTGATGTTTTAATGATCTCAGCCTGCTATACATTTTTAATAGAGCTGATAGTCCTTTTCTTGTTTCTTTTTTTAAGATACTGTTTTTTTTTATTGATGTTTTAGGCTAATTTTAATTAACTAACAAACTAACTAACTAACTAACTGGTTGATTTTTATTCTAGAGTATCAGAGGAAACGGGGAATTGTGTCATATATTTATCAGACTTTATGGGTTTTGTGAATGTTTTAACAATTTTCTTCAGATACAAACCTAATAGAGTTTTTAGCCTTTTAAGAGATGACATAACCATTGAATCAATCCTTTGTAAAAAAAAAAATAAAAAAAGATATCTTCTTAAAAATTCAACCCATTGTTTATGAGCTAATTCCCAAAGTGTATTCCTCTGATGTTTGGCTCTGTCACTATTAGGGTTTTATCCAGTTTTATCTGCACATAGTGGAATCAATAGAGAATTATGGGACATTTGTTTGACTGCAGAAAAGATCATTCCTCTGTTAGATTTTATTGCATGTGCATTAAAGTAGGCACTTATCTGCTGCCAGATAGCAGACAATCAGCACACTGCTGACACAATTCATGACACGAGGTTGGCTGAAAGGATAGTCAAACAAAGGCTTCTGTAGGCAAACACACTCCTTAGTTGTGAATAACTGCAGGCAACGGCTCCAAGACCCTCTAGAGAAAACAACCTGAGAGACAAAGGCCGAGCTGCATTGGAGACAAGCTGACCACACCTGACTGCTCAGTTTGTAGTTAAAGGGTGTGTCCAAGTCACATTTACAGTCTCAGACTAAAAACTTATAATTATCCTCCTTGTGTTTAATAGGGTATTTAACAGGAGACACTTAAAGATAGAAATAAGCAGTCTGATGCTCTTGCTTTGAGCTTTCTCCCTTGATGAGATGCTTGTTCTCCAGAGCAATTATGTGCGCACCTCCAGTGTGAATCCTGTGTCCTTGGGTAGGACCAGAAACTTTGCAGTCAGTCGTTGCTCATGTTTTGGGGACAATGGATATGTTCACCTGTGTAACCAGCTATAAGAGTACTTATGTCTAGGAAAATGACATGCCACAAAGCCTCCATGCCCACATGCAAATACCTTTATTTCAACATGAACACCTGCACTTCTTCAGCGTTCATCCCAATTCTCTTTCTTCACAATTCAAATAGGGGTCAAACTAATTAGGTCAGGGGTCAAGTTTTCTCACAGTTTGCCAAAGAATCTTTCCTTTAATAGTGCACTCTAGAGAGCTTTAATTGGGAAAAATAAAAATGAAATCACCTTAATGAGTTACGTCACTATAATGTCAAATTACTGTGAATTAAAAATACATTGCAAGAGACTACTCCCCTATGCCACAGAGGCAGTGTGGTATTTCTTTTGGTTACAGAACAACACAAAGTAGGGCCTCTAGAAGTCACCTAATTTTTTACCAAAGTCAGTCTTTGACTAATTTATTTATAGTAAATATACAAATATTTTGTGGATATTTTTCAAGGATGGTGCCCTGTTCAGATGAGGCCAAATTTTAAATCTTTGGCATTGGTAAAAAAAAAAAAACACTCTTCCCATCATAAAACATGGTGTTGGCAGCATCATGCTGCACAGAGGCTTTTCTACACCTGGGACAGAGAAGCTAGTCACATTTAATGTGAAGACAAATTAAACAAAGACAAACAAAAGAAAACCGGCGAGGGAGCATAAAACACTTGAGGTTAAGGTTCAGCTATCATCACTACATGACCCAATAAACATATACAGCCAGTGCTAGAGTGGAATGTTTCAATCAAATAACATTTATGGGAAATATTTCTACCTCTAGAGACCTAACGTTGTGCCTCTTAGTCTATACTGGAAATAACACTGCAACTGTTTTAAAGGAAATTCTACAAATTATTTTGTCACTCAGGGAATATAAATTTGCACTTTTCATGCTTCTGTTTGTAGATGAAAGAAAGAAAATCTTTTACAGAACTTAAAAAACATCAAGGTTTTCAAAACTCTATTGAGATCAACTTACAGATAAAAGGACTCTTTTGTAATCACTGATTAGATTTCCTTAAAAAACAAAAAACAAAAACAAAAACTGGAATCTAATTTTTATGTAACCACAAATGCATGTCTCCATTTTTAGGTATTTTGGAGATTTTTTAAATTCTTCATCATTTCATGAACAGAAGTCTTCTGATGACACATGCCCCTTTGACAGGTATTTTAAAATGTAGAATACACTGAAAACAAAGAATGTTTTTTTTCTTTCTCCAAACTGTGATTAATCCTTAATGTTTACACCTGACAGTGTGTGAAAGTGTTTCTGTTCACACCCCTGGAAACCAAAGGTGCAATGACCAAAAAAGGGAAAACAGAGAAAACGAACAACAAAGGCAAGGGGTACATACTGAATAAAGAACAGTGAACAAACACAGGTAGCCCTTAAAAGAGATTTTTATGAGCTCCAGGCCTGCTAAAATGGAGTGCTGCGTGTGTGGAGCCACTCTTATCGCCTTTGCTGGAAGCAAGGCAAGGGAGGGCGAGAGCTTCCACACTCGCGATCCGTAAAAATGGTTTGATTCATTTTCTGCATGAGAGGGTCTCAGAGGGGCAGCATCAGACCAGCCATTCCGCACAGATTTATGGACCATTAAAGCAGCAGGCCTCCTTGCCACTATGGCACTGTTGGCTGCCTTCTAAGACACACTGCCCCCTCATTCATGTTTGGTCAGTGCTCTCCATCACAGACATGCATCCCCATTGTTCATCCCTTTCTCAGTCACACTTTTACTGTCATCCATGAACTCCTCTCACAGTTCGTGATTCCGCTTTTATTCACAAAATTTTTAATAGATGGAGATGTCTGAAATAATTTTCTCCTCCGCTGATTAGTTCAAATGTTCTTTTTTATCCATCTTATACAGCACCATAACCATAAAGTGGCTATCATTTTACAGATCAGGAAAGGCTCTAGCATCACTATGAAAGTCACTGATGGTGGTCAATGGGCTATGTTGTTTTAGCCTAACAGTTTCACAATCAGATTAGCACCAGTGCAGGCACACAGACTAATGGGTCTGTCTTTTTAAGTCATCCTCAATCAGCTGTTTCCGTGGTGATTAATGCATCTTGCTCTCCTATTTCTCATTCGCCAGCTTTGTAACTTCATCATCATCCCTAGGAGTGATAGGAAAATGGGGCAGATTCTGTGCTGCCTGACACGGTGGCCCTAAGAATAGCTCAGTGCACAAAAGAAAAAGATGCAAATGCTATAGCAATACATTTGTCACTTTCATTTAATTATTCGCCTTTATACAGCTGTTTCATTAGCTCAAGTTTATGAAAAACACACCACAAACAATGAGTATATGTAACTGATAATCATCTTAAATACAATTGCAGGCTGACTCACCTGCATTCATTTAAACACAAAACGCACAACTACTACCCAAGCCTGTTTGTCTGGTTCAAAGAAGAGGAAGGAGCCACGTGTGCAACAACACTGTTTCAAAAGTATTTACAGTGCCAATGCATGGCAGGCTCTTGGAGCTAAAAGAAAACAGAGGGGCTATTAGATCAGTTCACAGAGAGCTACTCATGTGCGCTTATGAAATGGAGTGGCTTAGATGATGAGTAAGGCATCACCATTATGTGAAAGTTACAGTTTGGTGTGAAGTCAGTTGGCCAGCTGCACTTAGATGATAGTAAGGCATAAACTGTAAAGGTACCTGTGGGGAGTTGGGGGCTCAAATGTTCAGCCTTAAGGTTATAATAAGTTTATTAAGGAAAGTAACTTAAAAAGCTGCTTCTTTTTCATTAATATTTAGTCTATATGGTCACACATGTTTATCCAGGGGTCATGATGTCTGTATCATCGTTGATTCTAGGAGGGGCCCAGTTGAGGGTCCACTATCGTCATGAGGCAGGGCGCGGTGACACATCCTTTCTCTCCGCCCCGAGGTGTTTGTGCAGCCTGGCCTGAATAACGCGGGACACGTCCGGCTGCTTTGCTTTCACTCTTTAATAACAGACAAATCACCCCATTATTCCTTTCCAAAGAAAAGAGTCTAAATGGTTCTTAGAAAACGTTGTTCTCCTTCTAATAAATTAGAGCGCGGGGAGATAAAACTAAAAGAAAAAAAATGCACTATGCAAAACTAGACCGCGTGCGCGTTCGCGCCGGTGCGCTCCAGCGCTGCGGCAGTTGCCAGGGGAGATAGGAAGGGAGGGGTTGTGATTGGCTGAAGCGGACCTGTTACCATGACGACGGTGAGGGGTTTGGTAGCGTTGCTGTGCGCTGTGTGATCTGCGCGCTGCGTGTATGGAGGAAGCAGCTGCTGATCTGATCTCTGACATTGTGCGAGACAGACATCTGAATTAAACTCTGCCTTTACAACACACCGCTCCCGGGTAACGACGTGTACGATTGTAAGTATTTTTTTATACATATTATTATAATATACGCGATCAAAAATGGGCTCGGCTTGAAGGGGGGTTAGCGTTCTGAACAAGCTAAAAGTAAAATTGGTCAAGTGACTTTGCTTAGAGGAGCCAGCATGGCATTAAGCGACAGCATGTGGCCAACCTAGTTAACGTTACTAGAAAGAGGACAGGGACACATTTAGAGAAAACGAGAACAAGATTTGACACTTTTTATGTAATCTTTTATTAAACCGCTAAGCTATGTTAAATACTTTAAATGTCATGCTAAAGCTAGCAGCAGTTTTACCTTCACTGACTCACTGCTAACGCTACTTCGCAGATAACGAAACATGGTGAACTTACTACAGTAAATAGGGAACCAAACTTGGTGAACGAACGGATGTAAAGTTACTTCGTTACCATTCTTGTTGCGTACAAGCTGCCACTTAACTTTGAATCCGTCTCTTTATTAGTGCTTTGGTTTCTGGCAAGTTGTGCTCTTAAAGACAAGAAGCTACAAAGCAAATATAGTATTTTAACGCGAGCAGCACTTTCTGTTTATATTTTTCTACTGCTTTGGGATTGAATTGCTTTGAACGCTTGTGTTTATCTTAAGCTGTAACTAAGTATATCCCGTTAATTCGTCGTTCCTTTTTTTTTCTTTTTTTTTGCTATCTATAAATAGTTGAATATTTCATGGTATTGACAGCACCAGAGGTTGAGAGGTACAGTGGCTAAGCTAAGCACATGATGTAATGGATTATCACAAGATTGTCCCAGATACAGAGCTCTGCAAACAATGTTGGTGTAGAAAAATATGTCTGCTGGGATTGCTTTGCTTATACCATAGGTTAAAAAAAGGTTATAATATACCTAAATTCAAGTTAAAGTGAGATCAAGTAAAACATTTTCAAAATGAAATGGTCAAATGAGCAGGTATGGGAAATTGTTTACTAAACAAAATGGTTTTAAGATGGTCTTACAGAAGTTTTGACAGGCGTCATAACTGTTTCGAAGGCACAAATTGTTTTTGAAAAGATGCATGTGTCAAATCTTCAACTTTGTTATGGAATCTATAATAACTATCTATATTTAAAAAAGATTGTGTATTCCCCATAGGGAATTTGTAATGGACTCATAGAGGTATGCAGCTAGAGTCTTTTCATTGTTTAAACAGGATATTTACAAGATGTAGGATGGTGCAAACAAAGCTGGTGTTAAGGCCTCCAGACCAGTAGGGGGCCCACTGGAGCATTCCACGTGTTAAACGGGATACAGGTTTCAAAACCTGTAGTTATCTTCATGAAGAGTCGGGATACTTTTATTGCTTTTTTTTTCCAGAGGATTTCTAAATGTCAGATATAAAAGATTAAAAATTGCTAAAATGTCAGATTTCTTTTGGATATACAAATGACAGATGTTGTACTTGTAATTCTATAGAAGAAACAGTAGTTTAATATTAATTACTTTATCCTACTGAATTTGCATTTCCTACTAGACTGTACTTGTCAGACTTTTTTTTTTTCTTTTCATAAATTGGTTTTATTTTGTCTCGCTGGTAACCCCGTGAATATTGGCTTCTTGAATATACACCACTCCTTTAAGTGAAACTTGTGGAAATGGAAACCTTATATTATTGGTGCAGTAATAGATAGCCAGTTCTGTATTGTTTATTAGTCTGTATTTACAATTTCTTTGCATATAAGAAAGCCTTATTTGTTAATCATTTTTGTTGCATTTAGAATTTTCGTTTTTTTTTATGAAGGCTGGAACTAGAGATTATTTCGCAAATTGATTAATCCGTTGATTATTTTTTTGATTAATTGATTTATAATCGGATAGCCAAAGGTTCTTTACAGAAGACTTTTTACAAAAATAAACCTGTTAAAACTAAAACTTTCCAATTGTGGAGTTCTGGATAGAGCATATTGACAGATGAAAAAAGTTTTTTTTTTTTCTAAATGAAAAATGTTTATATATAAATATTTTTTTATAATTTTGATATAATTACTGCACTAAGTGGGTCGCTCTGTCAGCTAAAGGCCTGTTTTAGAGTTTCTACACTCCACTTAACGATTAATCAATAACTAAATTAGTTGACAATTATTTAACTAATCGATTAATCCAATTAATTGTTTCAGTTCAGTTTTTATTCACTCTGACTTGTTGCTGCGGGTCAAATTAATACATCTCTTAAGTTCTGCTGCTGGGTTTTAAAACCAGGGTTGGTGACATGAACGGCTTTTTTTTCTCTCAAAATTTTGTAGTTCCATTGCCCTTATACCCAGAAAGAGAACAAGTTCTTATCCAGCGTTCTAAGTGTATTAACAATATGAAAGATAAATATCAGGCTCTTCATAAAAGATAGCAGCAGGAGGCATAGAAGTAGTTGACAGCCTGTTTGCCCTAAACCTACCGTCATTTCATTTCAGTTTACGTCCATTCTTTACCTCTTGATTAAACCTCTTTTTAGTTGTGCGTTTTAACATTATGTATCAGTCGATTTCTATAGTATTAGAGAAATGGTCTTACAAAGTCTAAAATCTTACTATTTTTGGTTATTCATATTCATCTGTTTGTGTTTCTATTAATTGCAGCTCTGACGGATTTTTTGGCCGTTTACTTATAAAAACACGTTAATAATGATCAGTGGTCAAACGAGTATTTATTTTATCGCCACGTTAGATGCATTCAGCTGTAAAAGTCAACCTATTAAAGTGGTCGATTACTGACTAAACTTATTAGAAGAAAAAAAGATTTAACTGTCTACCTGATAGCTTAGCCCTGACAACGTTGTACTGTACTGCTGTGCTTGATAGGTTTACTCTCTCCAGGCGTTTAATCCTCTTTTCTTGTTGTCTGTCACGATTGGACTTAGTGAATTGTTAAAACCTCATCTAAAATTTATTATGTGCTCCAAGGTTTCTCTGTGTTCTTTATCAATAAATTATAGAGAGTTTCTTGTCCGTTTTGTGAGGTGCCGACTGTACATGGAAGTTGTTCCTTTCTTCATACTTGCCAGTTGTTCAATCTCGGTGGATAGATAGAGGACACGGGGAAGTGGACCTCAAGGGTCAAACACAGACAATGAAAGGAACAGATGTTGCCAGTCTGCCATTATTTTAATGCCAGAACTTCTGTGGTCGAAGCATCTGTTGTTTGCTGTTGTTTTGTTCCACCTTGGCATATATCCTCTTGTGAACCCTGTTTCAGTTTTGAGCGGCATCCAAAGGGGCTCTTGTGGTTGCCAGAACTTTACTGACGTTTATTACTATAAATAGAAGCTACTGTATCTTAGTGCAGTGAGCGTTTTGATATCACAGTAATTGAGGGACATCGGAATTGTAATGTCAGGGTTAAATTGTTCTTAGATATTCAGGATCAGCCTTTAAGCTACTAAACCGGCTCTCAGTGTGTTGGAAACTGAGGTTCAATCCCACATGTTCAGGGTTGTTTTTTTACCATTTTTTGAAATCCTTTGTTTGTGTGGTTTAGATTGTGATGTTACAGGTTTTTCTCTCTCACTCTTTTTGTTGTGCACTGCCTGTCAGCTGTCTGAAAGAAGGCCTATGCTTTTTCATTGGGTGCAAGAAATACAAATTCACCATTTTGATTGTCCTTTTACTTCTTAAGTAATGTCCGACCGAGAGCCAGCTGCTTAAGCAGATAGTTGATTAAGTAAGCAACTATTCTGTTGACCTGTTATATACTCCCCTTTGTTACCCAATAATCAGCAGAACGGCAAAATGTGATGCCATTCTGTAAAACAAATACCCTTCAAGGCTGCTACTGAATTAAATTGGGTATATTTTGTAATAATGTTTTTTTTTTTCTGCCTTTTTATTGTGGTACAAATACTTTTACTTTCTGTTTTGAAGAAAAGCTGGTGCACAGTGTTTGTTGTGTCTTGACCTGAAGGTGACAGGGTTGCAGAGATGATACTGTAACTTGAAGCGAAAATTTGCACGAGGTGATATTATTTTCTCATCCTAGTTTCAGATTTTTCGACATGTAGCCTTGATGATAAATGCATTCTAATATCTCGGGCTGCTTTTATAGCTAGGACATCAGAGAAAGTGGTTGCTTGATGGTCGGATACCTCAGTGAATCTATACACATCCATTTCCTGTTTTATCTTGTGAAAAATGATCTTTCTCTCTCAAAGTTTGCAGTTTCTGATTAAAAACAAAGCTAACATAAGTTCTTATTTGGGCTAAACTACTTTGTGATCTGTTTCTATATTGTTACTGTGGTATATCTTCTTTTATTCTCTGCTGATAGCAGAACAGAAGATGCTTTATAGAGGATGTAAAATGATAACTATAACAAGACTAAATGAACTAACAGAGTATCCTGTTGACTCCATTATATCTTCAGTTAAAACATTTTGAAATACATACTTTTAATTTGTGAGGAGTGTCTCTGATCCACTGTCCAAGCAAGGATGACACCATTGATCAGTTTAAAATCTTGCTTCTCGGTTATCTGTCTTATCACAGCATTGTGCCCTTTGACCTCTAGCAAATGAAACGCTGAATCCTGTGGAATTCACCTCAGTCGAGCGTCTGTGGCACTAAATTCGTTACGAAAGCTGATCCCTGTGGTAGAAACTTTTCAGCCAATTGCTCAACACAGGCTCAACCTGATTTCTTTTGAATGAATTGGCTGAATAGAAAAAAAAAAAGCTCCTTGCTTAGTGGCGCTCTGTTCTCTGAGAACCCTGTCATTACCAAGTCAATGTGACTTTGATTATTCAGAAAGATGAAGTAGCTGAATTTTTGGTCGTCCTTATTCTTGTAATGTAAATTTATAGTTTAACAGAAACAGGAAGTTGGTGATTGCACTGCTGAAGTGACTGTTTCTGCCATAATTATGTGGTGGGGGTCCATTTTGCACTGATTCGCTTCTAACAAAAACTGATTATAAGTTGGCTTCTCTTTTTATCACCTAAATTAAAGTTTGAAATATATATATTTTTTTCTGAACAGTTCTTTATTCTTTTTGTT